ACAGTACAATTTTTAGCTTGGAATTATTTTTGAGACATTATTTGATGTAAGTATAATATTGTAATATATTATATTTATTACTTATCCATACTTATAGTTATATATTATTATTTTATTAGTTTTACTATTTTTATTATTTTGTTAATCTTTCTAAAATGTGTAKACGTTTCCTAAATGACTGTATGTTACTATAGTTATTACTTACTATAATATTATGAAATATAATATTTAGCCATATGGGTACTTATCACAATATAATATAGTTTGATTCAATCATAATCGTTTCAACGGTTTAATTTAGGCTTAAATGCCTTTCGACAGGTCAACTTTAAATCATAATAAAAACAAATAATATTAAAAGCTAATCTATTTAGACAAAAATATTTGTTTTATCCATTTTTTTTTTTACTTTTATACGTGTTAATTATCATGACACGCAGTCGTCGTCGTAGTCTAAATTTAAATACCTTCCCCACAATAATAAGTTCTCAATAAAATTAAATCAGTCAAGACATTTTTCATTTTAAATAAGTACCTACCTACCTATATGTTCCATTTTACTTCTAATATAATACAATAACATTAATAAAACCATCATTTTCACCTCACGATTGATGATATAAGACATTACTCATTGACATATTTATMACCTGCAGTGCATTATATTTATAAATACAATATATTATATTCGGTAAGTAACTACTTGAAAGCCTAAAGCACAGCAATGATTCTTACCTATAAGGCTATGAATCATAATAATGCTATTGTCATACCTATAATATTATATTGTGTCACGATATAAATTCATATGTATTTCCTATATATATATATAATATATATATTTTTTTTTATTACTAAATTTTTATTTCCACAATCTGTTACATAAATTTTGAACAATAAGTGAAATCGATGAATTGATGAATTATAAATTTAAATGTTTTTAAATCATTTTTAAACGGCTGGTGTAAATACCTTTGATAACATATTTTAGTCGGTGTAAAATTATATACAACATGTAGATGCTTATAGGATTTGTTCATATTATACATAATATGTAGGTCATGGGAAACTATTTTATAAACGTTTAGATATATTAATAAAGTCTATAAACTTAAATAATATACAAGGTGTAACTGATACTCGTAGAACTGACATTTGGACTAACTTTTTTTCACATTAATATTTTTTATTTATTTATTTTTTTTATGAACCTAGCACTACATGTATAATWCATTTTTTTACGTTTTATTTTTTAGTACTGAAATAAGTAAATAATTTCTAACAGTTTACAGAAAATCACCTGAAACTAATAAAATTGTATTATAAATTAAATATTATTGTTAGGTAGTATATTATTGGTCATAACTAGATTGATAGAAATATTATTTGTAGTACACAATG